AGAGAGAGAGAGAGAGAGAGAGAGAGAGAGAGAGAGAGAGAGAGAGAGAGAGAGAGAGAGGAATGAAACCAAAAGAAAGTAGGGTCGCAAACACGTCCTGAGTAACCATCCCCTCATGCTCACGAGAGAGAGAGAGAGAGAGAGAGAGAGAGAGAGAGAGAGAGAGAGAGAGAGAGAGAGAGAGAGAGAGAGAGAGAGAGAGAGAGAGGCCAATAAAAGTAGGGATTTGGACTTGCAATTTCTCGCATGACAGCACCACCATTGTAACGAACTCGGCTGTTTTCCAAACTAGCTAATCACGGAGTTCAACCACTGGCTCTCTCAATATGAACGACGCACTCTACCAAGTAGTACCAACTGACCTGACTACCCAGATGGGCGATTCTCTTTTTTGCCTGGATGCGACCTGTTTTGCCTGGATGGATTGTCCAGCAAGACGGCGCGCCGCTCGGGGCAGCTCGCACGCCACGACACTGAAAAAATGGTTGGGAAACGTACTGGTGGTTTCCATAAGAACTCAACTCTTCTTATCATTGGATCAGGCATTGCACTGGAAGGGCGGGCGCCGGGCAGCCAGTGAAACCTTGAGGATCTGAACTGAACTGGTCTGCAGTCGACCTCAGTCCTCACGGAGGAGCATACCACATGCTCTTCTACACTTCTCTCATCGCCCTCCTCCTCCTCCTCCTCCTCCTCCTCCTCCACCTGCTCCCTCTCCTTCCCCTTCTTCTAGCCTTTCCGTCCAACCCCTTTGTCCCGTCGCCTTGTCCTCCTGCTAGTGCCTCCGCTCCTCGTCTGCTGCTGTGAGAGCACGTGCCCATGTGTGTGTGAGAGAGAGATGACTCCTTGTTAACTTTTGTCCTCTTCTTCCTTCTTCTTTCGTCGTCTTCATTGTCGTCCTCCTCCTCCTCCTGCTAGTCCCATCCTCCTCCTCTTCGTCTCTTCGCTCCTCGTCTGCTGCTGTGAGAGTGTGTGTGCATGTGTGACAGAGTGAGAGAGAAGACACCTGGTTAATCCTCGTCCTCTTCTTCCCACTTCCTCCGTCACCGTCCTCTTTTYCCCCGTCATCGTCGTCCTCCTCCTCCTAGTCCCATCCTCTGCCCATACTCTTCCGGCCGATCAAATGAAAACAACCTTCGTCCTTGCCATTCTCTATTAAAACTACCTTTTTCGGTTTTGCTCATCAAACAAACAAGAAAAGCTCCCCTTTGAAGTGAGTGTCCTCGCCACTCTAAATCATAAATAACTTGAAAATAAGTTTAAATAACTACTCATTCTCTCTGAAATGCAGCGATTCATACGCAACATCACTTGTCATTCTCTCCAAACATCCTCTGCTTCATCAGCATCCACTCCCAAATTTCAGCCAAGAGCACCCTCCATGGCTAATATGTTGCTATCACTTGCTCGTGGTTTGCCAACATTCCCCCTCTCCCTGACTCTATCTCCGTTTCTGTCTGCCTGCCTGCCTGCCTGTCCGCCTGCCTGCCTGCCT